TAAGTAGTTTAAAATCAGCCACAATTAGTCAGTTTATCACTGCACATAAGTAGTTTAAAATCAGCCACAATTAGTCAGTTTATCACTGCACATAAGTAGTTTAAAATCAGCCACAATTAGTCAGTTTATCACTACATGTAAGTAGTTTAAATCAGCCACAATTAGTCAGTTTATCACTGCACATAAGTAGTTTAAAATCAGCCACAATTAGTCAGTTTATCACTGCACGTAAGTAGTTTAAAATCAGCCACAATTAGTTAGTTTATCACTACATGTAAGTAGTTTAAAATCAGCCACAATTAGTCAGTTTATCACTGCACATAAGTAGTTTATAAAAAAATCTAGGAATACTTCCATTGCCTCATTTAAAGTCTAGGCTTTCTGAAATTATACATTCAAAGCAAGCAAATACTTAACACTCAAACTGCCATAATGAGTAATGAGCAAGACTTGAAATTAGTGGGAGCCCAGGATCCAATAGCCCCCAAAAAGTCAGTAGGCCCATAAAAAGTGTCTGCTAGGTAGCCCACATGGCTCCTTAAAATAAAAACAGCCATTAAAAGTTTAACTCCACATAAATTGATCTAAGCATTTCTTAACTGAGTAGAACTTATGATAAACCATGAATGGACCTTCCCAAATTTATGAACACTCATCAATCATGTACAATCTACAATCCATAGACTTCACCAAGACTGTCATGGCTAAGGTACCCCCACTTAATTGTGCTATCCCAAAGGACCCATGTTAGTGAGCAGTGAAGCTGAGAACAAAGCTGCTTTCCAATCTGTCAGGATATCACAATCTGGGGGTTCACAGCAAAAAAGCAAGGCAAAATTCCTTGGAAGGTATTTTGGTTTCAAAACTTTCAAGGCCTGAAAAGTAACCAGGGACAGTCAGAAACTGTAATTTCTCTTTGTCCTACTCAAGAACACTTTGGTTGAACAACTACCAAGGCTGCAAAGATTTGTTTGTTTGTTTGTTTTTGAATTTCACGCAAAGCTACACGAGAGCTATCTGCATTAGCTGTCCCTAATTTAGCAGTGTAAGACTAGAGGGAAGGCAGCTAGTCATCACCACCCACCACCAACTCTTGAGCTAATCTTTTACCAACAAAATAGTGGGATTGACCATAACATTATAACACCCCCACGGCTGAAAGGGCAAGCATATTTGGTGGGACGGGGATTGCGAGTCAAGCTCCCTAACCACCTGGCCATGTCGGGCCAGGGCTGCAAGGAAATTTAATTTGAAGATTTTTGAGTGCTTTGAGGAAATAATGTGGAGCTTACTGTTGTTGAAGCATGAAAGACTGACTTATAAGCATGGTTGGTAAATAAGGTAATCAAGAAGAGTTGACACTTCGTAATAAACATCAAGGATAAATGAAGACAGTGGGGACAGGAAGTTTGTTGAAAGAAAGAAAGGTTGATACTTAAACTGAAAGAAACATTCGTGGCAGGGATTTAGTTTTTAAAAGAAAGAAATTTTCCTAAACTGGAGGGTTCAAAAATATTAATATCCCTTCACCCTGTTTATGGAAAGTTTTTATAAAACCAGTATTAAAATTATGCAAAATACAAATACATATATACATATATGTACACATACATTTGTTTTTGGTTTACAGGATTAATGATTAAAATAAGCAATGGAGGACCATTAATATGATTGTAGAGGTTATGATGTTAAGGCAAAGCAAAGGTCACCAACATCTAAGCTTTGTGAGAAGGAAGCAAATGGCTCTTTCTCAGGACCGTGGAGATATATATATCCTATACTGAGAAATTAGCTGTGGGAGGAGTGCAGGAGTGCCCCAAGAAAACCCACTTTCACTGGTTGAGCACCAATTAATCTACCCAAACAGTGCCTGAGGTGGATATCTAGAAATGAGGAGAAGAATGGTTAGTGAAAATACATGTGAATGTAAATGGATATTGCTAAATTAATAAGGATTATAGTAAAATTTAAAAATATTCTTCGCTTGCATCATAGTCTGATGGGTAGAAATCTGTGAGGTTAGAGCACTATTTCTCAGTGTGAAGGAAGGTGGAAGTGCAGATTTGTTGTATTGGCTGGTGCAGTCTTGTAGCTGTTGCCAGTATCTGGATCATTGGTGTAAAACACAAGAACACTTTTATACCAACATGCAAGCAAACAGACAATCCACCAATCAACCAGCCAGCTAGTCATGATAAACCAGAACATCCAAACAACAATTGAAGAAACCACACCAATCTATGATAAAGAAACTCAAACAGAACCAGTTGAAGTCTTGGAAATAGAAATGATGACAGAAACCCCCAAGAAAAAGAAACAAATGACACTGTTCGAGCTGAAACAAAGTAAGAAAGCTCCTCAGACTGACTCTGTTCATCTATAGGATCTTTCAGCTCTAAAATGTAAAAAGTAGAAAAAAACAACTGTGAGTTAGAATATGATCTGCAGTTTTCTTGGAATAGGTGGTTAGCTTTAGGAAACTTGTAAGCTGGGCTGAAACTGAAGAAGGCTGCTCGCTGTACATGAAGGCTTGAATATAAACGGTGGCTGTTGATGTTGACGAAGCAGGTGTGAAGATTGAAGTAAGCCAAGACTGTACCAAGGATATCCAGTTCAAAGTAGGACATGAGTTGTATAAGTAAGAGTGATAACTATGGTCTGAAATGATTGATTAATTAAATCTTGATAGGGGACAAATACATCTAAAACTAGCAAAGATAGTAATGTTTAAATGTTCAATTTGTTATAATTGATGACAAAAAGATTAAGTAGCTTTGGCTGAATTAATACGTAAAAAATGTTATTTAAGTTTTGAACATAGAATATGAAGGGGAGTGGTCCTTCTAGGGAAGGGATCTATGGATCCAATGGAAATAATTTTGCTGTTGAGGGAAAGGAGTACCCCAAGAAAACCCACTTTCATTGATTAGGAACTGAATATTCTACCTGATCAATGCCAGAATTGTTAAGGGTTAACAGGAGATTATGAAGATTTTCCTACTTTTATTTATTTTCCTAAAAAAAGGCTACAGCTTGGGATTTAGATGGGTGGAGGGCTATATGGCAGTTGTTGTGCCAATCTGACACTGCACTGAGTGATATTTGGACCCTAAACGTTGCAGAAAGCAGGTTGCTAGAAGACCTCCTGATAGCAATATCATCTGCAGATTGATACGCAAGTGTATGGTTTAAGGAAGGGAACAGGATATCATTGACAAAGAGGTTGTATAATGTTGGGCTTTACACTGACCCTTGGGGGACACCAGCTTCGAATGTGAAGAGCCTGGAGGTCACACTGTTGTTCTTAACTTTAGCTGTTATGTCGGTAAGAAAGTTGAATATCCAGCATATAATTGGGGTGGGTAAGTGATTACTGATTAGTTTATAGTTGTGCCATACCAAATCAAAGGCTTTTTGGACATCTAAAAAGGTAGCTATGGCTGTATGTTTTCTGTTGGAACTCTGATAGATGGTTTCGGTAAGTCTAACGAGGTGGTCAGTCTATGTTTTCTGCCTGAATTCCATATGTTGTTAATAACATTGTTGGTTTCTGGGTAAGCATTTAACTGGTTCATGATTAATTTCTCCATCAACTTACCAAGGGTGTTCAGCAAGCTAATAGGTCTGCCAGGATTAGTTATTATTTTTCTTGTGGATTACCTTAATAATAGCTGATTTTCAAACAGATAGTAATGATAAATTATAAATTGTTACTAAGTGGGTTATGATTTTGTTGGATAGGTTTTTCAGGATTAAATTGCTAATTCCATCCTCTCCTGGGGCTTTGCATTGTATTTATCTAAGGTTAATTTGGATATCTGCTAAAATTATAGAGGAGGTATATAAATCGTTAGAACTAGAATTTGTGATATAGAAACTGGGAAATTTTGTGAAAAAAGTGTTGATTATTAGAAATGTGTTGATTTACACTATTGAAATGTTGTGTGTCAAATGAGGTGAGATTTAGGGTTACAGAGGTACTTTCAAATTATTTGGCAAAAAGTTCAGACTGTTTGTTATCAGTAGTGGTAGTGTTGTTATTATATTGAATTTTATTTATGGTATTGTTTGATTTGTTATTTGTGATAGATTTAAAGTTCCACCAGAATTTGGAAGGGTCAGGTTTGGATTTCCCAGCTATCATGTTGGTGTTGTAATATAAGCTTCTTAATGAGACTATATTCATGGCATTAATAAGTGGTTTAAGCATAATTTCATGGGTTCATATGAATTTGTGTCTGAGTAGCCTGCTGATGTTTATTAATACATGAATTTTAGGAATAAGTTTCCAGGATGATAGGTCAGGATTTGTTATTTTTCTAGGGATTATTTCTTTGATGACTTGGGTTATGGCACTGATGACATCAGGGGCATAATCATTGATTTCGGTTTGGATGTTTAAGAGCTAGGTGGTTGTGGCTTCTGAAATTGACATGTAAAAATGTTAGCATGCTCTGCACTGATCACCTGGGAAACATTCTAAATAGTAATCATGAATGAAAGAGGAAATACACCTGTGGAATTTCACTTTGGATGAATTTGTAATGACTCTTGTCACATAGTTTGAAAACCAGAAAATATGTGATTGTTATAGGAAATTGCCTGGTTTTTGGATGTTATTAGTCTGTGTTCTTTGGTGCATTATTTGATTACATAAAAACTATTTAATGCACTACTACCATTAGTATAAAATAAGTAGGGTTAAGTCTCATTGAGAGCAAGAACAAGATTGGGTAAGTAATTTATTTCTTGTTTTTCATATTTATTCTTTGTATATTATTATTATAAAAGTAACTAAAATGTAAAAATAGATATCTCTTTAGGTTACTTAAGGTTAGATTAGATAAAATAAACAATAATAAGCA